TTCAGACCCTAATTTCGGAACAATAATTGTTCTAGATTCCTGACATCTGATTAGTCATTCCGAACAGTAAAACTCATAGATTCCTAACATATGTATAGTTATTCCGAATAGTAAATGTCATAGATTCCTTACAGTATTTCGGACCAGCTATTTCGGACCATTGTTCCGGAACCACGTTTTGGACCAATTATTTCGGAGCCAGGTTCCGGACTAGCTATTTCGAACAATTGTTCCGGACATTGCTTTTGTACGTAATTGTCATAGATTCCTGACATATGTGTAGTCATTTCCCAACAGTAAAATTCATAGATTCCTGACAGTATGTGTAGTCATTCCGAACAATAAATGTCATAGATTCCTGACAGTATTTTGGACCCTTATTCCGGAACCCTATTTCGAATCTGGAGCCACTTTCCGAAATGGCTATTTCAGACACTTGCTTTCGACCTTAAAATGCACCTAGCATGTATCCTCAATGTTGAAATAAAATTGGAATGAATTCATCTCATGATGGTGTTTGGAATTGTGAATAAGAAGATTGTTATGTTTGTTCAGATAATAACTCGTTTCCGGAAGTCCCGGATTTCCCACTCTCGGATAATATGTTTGATGACATTTTCCAAGCTATGAAGGCTGGTGAAGAAGCAAACGAAAGGGACTTTGAAAGAAGTCACACACTAAATCAACGTGTGGACAATCTAGCGGAACAAGTAAATGAAAAAGAAAAATGGGTTGCTGAAAGCAATGAAAAAAGTGAAACAAGCTAAGTAGTGGATTGAAAATGCAAATAAGAAGATCAATAAGATGCGTGCAGAACGGGACCGTCTAATTGATGTTGTTAGAATTAGAGGAGATTTTATTGACCTGGAACAAAATATGTATCCCTTACAATTTCCTAATTTGTGGAAACCAATCAAAGTATGTATTATGTTTTATAACGCTCTTTGCAATAATGTTAATGAAAAATGATAATTGTCATTTTAGATAATCATATCGTTCATTTTACAAAATTTAGTTTGAAATGACATTACAATATCCATATTTAAAATTAGATTACATTTGTGGTCGATAATTGAGAACTTGCATCCGATACAAACTAGGCGTGTCTACATGGTTTTCAAACAATTCCATGTAGGTTTCAATTAGTTTGAAACCATTATCAGTCAATTCGACTCGATCTTCTATTGTTGGAGTTGTCCTATGTGTTTCTTTGATGACGTCCATTGTGTTGACAAATTGTCATATATCTTCAAACATGGTAATGAGGAGCATTTGCATGTTATACAATGCTACTTTTCTCCTGTCCTCAGCCGGTGAAGGCGGTAATGGGATTTCCAGTATTACCATTCGTTGTTTAGCACGTTGATAATCACGAATCATTTCTAATGCAGTCGTATCAACAAGACATTGTTGCATGTCTTCAAGACGTGGTATAACATACTTTATAAGCAACTCATCCTCATCGTTCGAGTCACTGGATATTGGAGACTGAAAATAGAATATACCTAAATTATATTAATATACTATTTAAAAATCAATGTCCATAAAAGTATTTAATAATAAAAAAACACTTCCTGAAACATATTCATAACAACAAAAAAAAAGATAACTGCAACTAGTCTACCATAACAGGTTTGTCAGCACTTACTCTGGTGCCATCTTTCGGAGTAGTATATGTTTTCAATTTAAGTTTTAACACCCTTTCTGATTTCTTCTAGGTGACTTTGCTGGGGTTTTTTTATCTTATTTTGAAACTCAGCATCGTCGTTTTTCATCTGCAAAAATAAAATTTCAATAATATTTTAATACATTATTGTAAAAATAAATTATAATTATAAAATTATTGTTTTTCGAGTTTACCTTTATCGGACGCAATTCTGAAAGGTCCTATAAATGGAATACAACTTCGTCGTCCGTAAAACCCACTTTTTTAACAACATACACGCTAACTCATATTTGCACTAACATGGGTTATTAAACAATACTTAGAAAAAAAAATTATATATTGTACTTATTTTGGATCATCATTCGGAACAGATCATCAGGTTCCGGGCCACGTTTATCGTGTTCCGGACCTACGTTACCATTTCGGAACCCCTACAATACCTTATTCCGGACTAAACAATCAATCATAAACACAATACAAAAGTACTTACATAACATTTATACACGTACAACAAGAAAAAAAATATAAAAAGGATAATATGGATATTTCGGACTTGTTCCAGACTTGTTCTTCGTGTTCCGGACCATTCCGGAATACGTAAATCGTTTCAGAAAATCAAATGCAAAGTAACTTAAAAGTGTAGAACTTACATAGTTTGACGAATCCATGCTCAAAATTTTGGTCCGAAATATGGGTAGATCATGCTTCGGATCTGCTAATTTCGAAACGCGTATTCCGGATTTTTTGTATGTAGGACCCATATATATACCATTGGGCTACAATATTGGGCTTGGGCCGGTTTTCGGGTCCAGAATGACCCATTCCGGACCAAAATGTTAGTTTTAAAAAAAATGGGTTATATTTAAAATAAAAAAAAAGTGGTTAAATTACTTAATTTCCCAAAACAAAACTTAGAAAACAACCCAACTAACCTACATTTATAGCATCACTAATTTACTTGAATTAATAACAATTTATTGAATATTTCAGAATAAATTAAAAACTACTAATTAATAGTTTGGGAAATATTATGTTTATCATATAGAATAGGAACTATAGTGCGAAAGGAACTACAGTAGAAACTTCTCCCATTTGAGTCTCCGATGAAGAAACTGAAGTTTTGGGTTTCTTTGAATTAAACAACCAACCTTGGAAACAGAAAAACTCTGATAAGAGGTTCTTGGTGAGATGTGAAACAACGAGCACATCTAATAGTTGAATATCTTTGGAAAGATTAGCTTTGCCAGAGGTGAATGATGTTCCATATGCAAGCTTCTATGAACCTGGTCATGTTTTACCTTCCAAAGTTGTCTCGGTATCTCCATCTATGGAAACATCTCCACCCCTGGCAGCATCTCCCACATCTGTAGCGTTACTACACACTTGTCCTACCTGTACAACACAGGTTACCAGCTCCCACACCCATGCTTCCACCTCAGCTACATCTGATGACGTTACCCCTATCCCAAACATGGAACCTAATGAGACGTCACCAGCAACTCCATCTTCATCACCGACATCACCCGCTGTGTCTACTCCAGTTCAGCAACGGACATCAACTCCACAGCCTACTCGGCTCCATCCCATGGTCACTCGTTCATGTACAGGCATTTTCAAACCCAAATATATAGTTGATCTTGCTCACCTTCCTCCCTCAGCATTACACCATGCTCTCTTGACTACTAACACACACAAAGGGTTTAAATCTGCCTCCAAACACCCTCATGGGCTCATGGAAACGGAGGAGGAAATTCTTGCACTCAAATCCAACAACACTTGGGATTTGGTACCCCGTCCAAAAAATGCAAACATAGTTGGTTCCAAATGGATCTTTCGTACCAAACTTCGTGCTGATGGCTCCGTTGAACTACTTAAATCTCGTCTTGTTGCTCAAGGGTTCACACAAATTTGGAGCTTGGATTTTTCTTATACTTTCAGCCTTGTCGTCAAAGCCTCAATTGTCCGCATTGTTTTATCTCTTGCAGTTTTACACAAATGGCCTCTCCACCAACTAGACGTCAAAAATACCTTCTTAAATAGTCATCTCTCTAACATGGTTTTTATGGAGAAACCACCAGGGTACCTTGATGAACGATTTCCAAACCATGTTTGTCGTTTAAAGAAAGCATTATATGGCCTTAAATAGGAACCACAAGCATGGTTTCAAAGACTTAGCACTTTTCTTCTTAGTCTTGGGTTTGTCTGTAGTCGTGCCGCTACGTCACTTTTTGTGTTTCAATGACATCGGGATATTCTATACATCCTGGTTTATGTCGATGATATTATTCTTACTGGCAACAACTCTGCTCTCATCAAGACTTTCATCACTCGTCTCAATAATGAATCTGCAACAAAGGATCTTGGCAATCTAAGTTATTTTCTGGGTCTTGAAGTTACTTATCCCGACAATGGTTTGTTTCTCACACAAACCAAGTATGCCCATGACATGCTCACAAGAGCTGGTCTACTCGAATCTAAACTTGTCTCTACCCCCATTGTCTACTTCTGAGTTGCTTATTTCCCATGGATCTTCGTTTTCTGACCCCACCCTATATAGATCACTTGTTGGAGCCCTACAGTATCTCACAATCACTCGCCCTGACCTCTCATATGCAGTAAATCAAGTCAGTCGGTTTCTTCATGCTCCAACCAATGATCACTGTTAGACAGTCAAACGCATCATTCGCCATGTCAAAGGCACCATCTCTTATGGTTTATATTTTTCAAGACTTACATCTACCTCCTTAGTTGGTTACTCGGATGCAGATTGGGCAAGGTGTATTGAAACACTGTGATCCACATATGGCTACTCAATATTTCTTGGTGGAAACCTTGTTTCATGGAGTGCCAAAAAGTAACCTACCGTCTCCCGTTCCAGTTGTGAATCTGAATATCGTGTCATGTCTAACGCTGCTGCAGAAATAGTTTGGGTTAGTCATCTCCTGCGAGAACTTCATGCTCTTCCACCTAGTGATAACCGAAGTGCACTATTTCTCAACCAAAATCCCATTGCACACAAGAGAGCTAAACACATCGACATCGACTACCATTTTGTACGCGAGCTCGTTGCCTCTGGAAAGCTTCGTACCCAGTTTGTTCCCACTCATCTTCAGTTAGCTGATATTTTTACCAAAAGTCACCCTCGTCCTTTATTCGAGAGATTTCTAACCCAACTTCGTTTTGGTCCTCCACCGCTCAACTTGACGGGGGTATTAGAGATAAAACGTGATTATCTCTAGATTTATTTAAATTATAAGTTAGCTTGTATCTTATAATTGTTGTACTATATAATCTCAATCAATACAGTAGGAACATTAAGCTTGAATTACAATCCTTATACTATTACATCATCTTTTTTTACATTCGACCTTAATGACACTTCCAGATCCATATTATTAACCACATATCGAAATGAACCCATTGAGAAACACCTCCTTTCATCCAAATTACACCTGCTACTGCTACCCTCCACTCCACTGGATCTTTGTTCCCCATTAAAGCTCTCGAGCTTTCCAAGCCTCACGGAAAGTACCCGTTGTATGTTATTATTCGTAGTAGGGATAGGGACACTAATGACATTTTCTTCCCTTGGACGTACATTGTGATTATTATTACATAATCGGTGTTGTTCTACTTGTATCCCCAAATTGACCCTGCAAAGAGGGCACGTGGAATTTGATAGAAGCCACGTGTCGATGCAATGAGTGTGAAAAGCATGGCTGCAAATTGGAATCAACCGAAGTTTGTCATCAGGTGAGAACTCGCATAAACACACAGCACAATCAAATGGATATTGTTGGGACCCGATTATTATAATCTCCTTGTAGTTGAAGACAGGGAGATTATCGATGAAAGACTGGTCCAAGCCGGAATCTTGTAGCCGGAAAAGTTGTTGAAGCTGTCTTCCGAGAGACTGTTGGGTATATCTGTTGGACTGAGTGATGAGTACTGATGGATTATTATACGAAGGTTTCTTTTTGAAGAATCTAAGAAGAATATGAAGAATTCCAGATATGAAGAAGATGGCAGCTACGGATACTATCAACCAAAGAAGAGCCGGACTGACTGTGATCTCCGATGGTGCAGGTAACTGATCGGCCCAGATGCCATTTTCTTGGGTAAGAAGCGATCTAGCCATAGTGAGGAGATAGAATTAAAGTTGTGGATTTTAAAGTAAAAGAAGGCAACAAGAACCATATAATTAAAATGAGAAAAAGAATTAAAGTATGATGGAGACCTTAGAGATAAAGAGTTTGAAAGGTCGTGGTTTTGGTTTTGGTTCCCAATAATGGCAGCAGAGAAGAACCCTAGAAGAGGAAAGTTGGTTAATTGGTAGACAAGGCTTTAAGACTTTGGGGTGGGGTGGCTCTCTTTACAGCTTTCCCTTTTTTGGCATGCCTTATGCCCTTATCTATTCTCTAATTGCCCACTCAATTGCTTGCTGCTGATTCTTACTAATCATGTCGACTCAAGCATATATATACCTTTTCTTTTCTTTCTAAATTTCACCGAAAGGCCACTGAAACTAAGCAGTGCATTTGTTGCATTTGCATCTTCATCCTAGCTCATATATTATTCTCAGTGGCGGCCCTGGGGTGGTGCCAGCGGTTCGGTCGCACCAGGCCTCCGATTTTAGGGGGCCTCCGATTTTTAGGATAATTTATAATTATAGTATTGGTATTTTTGTAAAATCTATTTTTATGTTTTATCAATAAATAAAATTAGCCCGGTAACTTTTGGTTCCAATTTTAGATGCGTTTTAACATTTGGCCTCCGATGCGTTTTAATTACCGAAACAAAGTCTCACTTTAAAATCATTGTCAATCACAAGGTGGGAAAGTAGGATCCTGAAATAGTAAAAGCTCTGCATAAACTTGTTGAAGAAGAGACAGACATAAAGATCATAAGTGAAGCTACTTGTCTAGCAGAGTATGAACTTGGCAGATTTGACTTTATAACAGGTATAGTTATAAGGTATCATATATTGGCTAAAGTAAATAACGTGAGCAAACAACTTCAGTTTGAGACTATGCGTATTGATGAGGCAATGAGTAGTGTGGGAGCACTTATTGAGTTTTTTAAAGACTATCGAGAGAATGGGTTTGGGAAGGCTTTGGATTGTGCGAGAGCTATAGCTTCTGATTTGGAAATTTAACCGGTGTTTGTTGAGAAAAATAATAAAAGAAAAGTTGTTAAAAAAAGACATTTTGATGAGAATGACATTGGGTCATCAGAGCCGGTACATGAACTTTCACCTCCAGAGTCATTTAGGATTCAATATTTTGTGTACATAGTAGATCAAGCTATTGGTTCATTAGAGCGAAGGTTTGAACAATACAAACAATATGAAGACATTTTTGGTTTCTTATTCACAACAGAAAAGTTGAAAGTCAATGAATACTAGCGAGTTAAAGTCATGTTGCAAAAATCTGGAAAAGAGGCTGCAAAATGGTCATATCTCAGACATTAATGCTGATGATTTATTCAACAAACTGGAGTTGTTACAAAAACATTTACCGGTTGAACACAATACAGCTAACGGAATACTAAATTTCCTAAAAATGATGAACACTTATCCAGTTTCTTGTCTAGCATACAGAATATTGTTGACTGTTCCTATTACAGTTGCATCAGCGGAAAGAAGTTTTTCAAAACTAAAGCTTTTAAAATCTTATTTGCGCTCGACCATGTCTCAAGAGAGATTAAACGCTTTGGCATTGATTTCGATTGAGAATGAGTTTCTTGAGAATATTGATTATGAAAGTCTCATAGATGAATTTTCTTCTAAAAATGCTAGAAGGTCAATGTTTAGAAAATAGTAATGCGTTGTTTTTTTTGTTGAAAAGTTGTTTATAACAGTTTTACAGTTTTATTTGATTACCAATGAGTGATGAAGACATTATTTTGCGGTAGTGAATTTATGAGATGTTTTTTAGCAACTTTATGTTTTGAATTAGTGGTAGAAAATGTAGTTAATAATATTTACAAGAAATTTTTGTGGGGCCTCATTTTAGTTTTTGCACAAGGCCTCCGAAATATCAGGGCCGGGCCTGATTATTCTTCATTGCTATCTTGGCCTCCTTTCGCTATATAGCTTGCAGGCTTCACAACTTTTTTCCTTTTTTATTGCATCATGCTTTCAGGTAGTCTATGGAATACATTGAATGACAAATATGATAAAAGAAGAAAAAGAGAAGTATGTGATAAGTTAAGAGCCTATATGATCTTGATCTTGATGAAGAACATATTTCCTGAATTATATATATATATATATATATATATATATATATATATATATATATATATATATATGTCCGTAATTAATCATCAATGAAGCAGCATCATTATTGATAAGCTATAATAATTATACTGATACACAATGTGATACACAATGTAAGTAGTGACTTAGAGATAACATAGCTTGATTCAACTAATAGTTTATTTATGTTGTATAGATAAGATTCTAAGACTTTAGGATCTATTGACTATTGTAATCTCTATTTTGTACATGTTATATATATATATATATATATATATATATATATATATATATATATATATATATATATATATTAATGAGAATGAAACTATAACTTCTCTGTAACCATTGGTTGGTTTTGAACTTTTGATAATGAGTTTCATTGTTTTCCAGATAAAATTAAATCATTTTTTAGTATAAACTAGATTATAACACGCGTTAAACGCGGGAGAACGCATAAAAAACATAGAAACGTCTACATATATTCCATAATTATTAAAAAAATATATTTATGGGTGTTTCTATTATTGAAATGTGAAAAAGATACAATGAAATCGATAAATATCTATAATCTTTGAAAGACCTTTTTATAGACAACATTTTTTGTTTTATTAGTTGAACGACCTTCCTCGTCACATATGAGTACCTTCAACCCTTTTTTGCTTGTAACACGGGAAACAACTACATATAACTGACCATGAGTGAAGATAGGTCTACGCAAATATAATCCAACATTTGATAATGACTGTCCTTGACTTTTGTTAATGGTCATAGTGAAACAAACAGCTATGGGGAATTGCCTCCACTAAAAACGGAATGAAATTTTTTTATCAGACGGGGTTAACTTCATCCGAGGTATATAAGTAGTCTCGTTGAAAAATCTACCAGATATGATTTGTGCTTCGAAGCCTTACGATCTGTAATCTTGTACCATTGCATAGTCCTTTGATTTGGTCGATATTACGAAGCAACATCACCAGAACACCTTTCTTTAGTATAAGCTTATGGCTGGGAATTCCAGAAGCCTTAAAACCATTCAACACGTCTGGAGAGTATATTGATTCCTCAAATGAATCTTGGTCTTCAGTCTCACATAACGAATCAGAACTCAGATAAGTTTTCCCTTCATCTTTCATCAATTCTAACACGTAGTCGTTGATAGCATTGACTTCTTCGTTTGTAGGGACCAAAATAGCTTTATCTTGAAAATAAGATGGATCGTCAAGATGGTTCTGAAAGGATGAATAAATAGAGGATACAATTGAATGAATATGGTCACCCATAGAGGGAACGATAACATCTTCTGGAAATTCAACTTCAACTTCACCATAATTAGGACCACCGATAGTACCTTCACCAATTTTAAGGATCCATTCAGCGATAACATCTTCTGAAAATCATTTGCAACGATAACATCTTGCAAGATTCTTGCAATATGTTAATTCAAGACTTGACGGATCAGAATTAAGCTCGTCTTGAATTAACATATTGCAAGAATCTTAAATATATTTGTGATCAGGTAATGGCATATTGGGTATTTGCTTAAGACTCAAGCGACAACTCAATAAAGATTTCTCAATGTATGACAACGTAAGGTGGTAAATTGCTTTCGGTTTTAGCTTCAAGCCTGAAAACATGAAAAAATTACGAAATTATTTATTTATAATAAAAATTAAAGTCGGAACGTTTTTGTGTAAATGGTTTAGTTTATTTAAAAATGTACCTTTCACACCTATTTCTTGTTCACGAATGTGAACGACATCATCAGAAAGACAATTATAGGTCTCTTTAAAAACATGATGAGGTCGGTTAAAGTGAGGACCTTGATGAAATTGTTGTAGGTTCCACATTCGGTTGTATGACATTATTGAATGAAGAGTTTGAATGTAATTCCGTGGATTTTCGAATAACTCGACAATTAGGGGGGATGTAGAAGTTATTTTCTTCAAAAAAAATGAGTATGATAAAGGTGGAGGAATTCAATATATATATATATATATATATATATATATATATATATATGTGTGTGTGTGTGTGTGTGTGTATTGAAAATTTAATGATAGTATTTACATATAACTTTACCGTTTGTGATGTCCGACAGTGGTGTGCAAGGGGATGCTTTAGATGTGGTCATCCGTTGTTGGAATTCATAGATCTTGTATTCTATAAAACGTAAGATGATGTACATAACGTTGGAGAGATTAGTAAATTCATGGATGGATCTAAAAACATAACATAACAAATGATTATGCAGATTCATAGATGTATGTCATAACATAACAATATGTTTATCTATTATTTAGTATTTGCAAATAATGGAATTAAAGGATATCGATGAAGATAATAAGGAATGCAAGTTGATTAACAAATGTAGAGATATAATTGGAAAGCATGAGTCGTAATTTTTTATTAAATTTAAATAACAGTCAAAAATAGATGAATTAAATCCATATTTAATAAGATTTAATTAAACGATGGTTTTGAAATTGATAAGGGTACATGATTTTGAAAAGATTTAAAGATAATATTTCCTTATTAAACGATTTAATCATAAATGTTTGGATCCAAATAATTAATTATTTCCATAATGTACATTTGGAAAGCATTTAAAAAATATTATTAATTAAGTGTAATGTGGAAAGAAATAAAACCTATCCAGAGTAGGTAAAAAATAATAAATTAGTTTTATATAAATGAAGTTAATATCAATAACCTCATAAAACTGATGAAGCAACTCTTGTGCGGTTTTTTTGCAGAAGTTTCTTTGCGTCACAGTCAAATAAAGTAAGTGACACCAAACCGGTAATGTCTTGCACTATAATGGTGATTTTGAAGCTGAAAGCATTCATGTAAAAAGATTTAGTAATATAAATTTATAAAATTTAACAGAACATTATAATAATATTTATAAAAGAAATATTAAAACCTTGGAACAACAAATATGTCTTTGTTACTGCAACTTGAAGTGTAACAATAAAAAACTTCTTCATCTTGAAGCTGATCATCATGCATTGAAACAACTTTAATGACTTTCTGGTGACATGTAGTACAAGCGAAATAGTACCATTCCGCTTCAGCACATACTTGTTTAATAGTACCGACAACAATCAATGTTTTTCCTAAAAAATATTAATGTAAGTTTAAATTTTATGATAAAAAAAAAAAGAATAATGAAAGATTAAGACATAAATAATACATAAACAATTTCACATAATCTCTATATTATAAATGAAAGTGACGTATATACACCTCATGTAGTTGTTGGAGATCAGCAATAGTATGGAAATCAAACTTATGAAGGAAATCTTCATTTTCAGAGTAGACGATCGAGGATGAAGGGCTGCTACAATTAGCAACTATGCTTTGTGTCATGTATCTGTTTGTGGGAAAAATAATGATTGTTTCAAGTTAAATGTTTAGGAAGTATAACGCTAAAATGGGACTTCTATAAAAAATAAACTTTCTGCAAGTGTGTTTCTATGATTAAAGGTAGAAAGCAAAAAAAAATGCAAATTTGTCGTTATAAAATGTAAAGTAAACAGAAATGTATAATGCAGGGGCATTTTGGGAATGTTGGTATATATATTTTTATTTTCTCCTATTTATAATATTATAAAAGAAAAAAACATTTAGGAAGCCTTTATACTTAATTTAAATAACAAAAAAGGGGAAAAAAGGAAAATTTTGAATCTGGTTCTGAATTCGGAAATCCTGGTAAGAAATAGCAATGTCTTTTTACCTTTTTACCATTAATAACAACATAGCTAAATTTTTTTAATCAATAATAACAATTTCATTTAGAAAGAATAGCAACATACTTATGTTTCTTTAACAATAACATCGATATATCAAATAAAGTGCAATACACATAATGCTATTAAAAAATTGTAAATTTGTTAATTCCCCGTTTTGCCCTTTGATCATAGTAGATAGAGTTTGCAAATTAAGTAATCAACTGATTTGCAAATTCAGTAATCAACCGATTTAACATCTAACATATTATGTTTCATATTAGAGCATATGTACAGGGGCAAAAACTTCATAACAGTGTATTTGGAGTTTAATCAATCAATTTATGTTCATCTGTTGTGAAGTTTTTAAAAAATTAAACGAAAAAAAAAAGTATACTCCGGCTGCCAATTCAGTATAGTTTGTTCATAATATATAAACAATGAGAATAAAGAAGTATAAACAATGAGAATGAAGTAGGAAAAAAAATAAGTTCAAATAATATATACGATTCCATACATGGTTTAATATAGTTTGTTCATAATATAACAAAAAATTAATGCAGGGAACGGAAAGGAAAGTGAAACCTGTTATGGATGATTGTTGATGGACGCCAACAGGAAGAGTGAATAGAGGTTGAAGAAAGTTAAATTTTTTCGTGATTTGTATGATAAAGGATTATTAGTAATCAACTGATTTAACCTCTAACATATTATGTTTCATATTAGAGCATGTATACAGGGGCAAAAACATCATAAATGTGTATTTGGAGTTTTGATCGGTTTTGATTCATGTGCTGTGAAGTTTTTAAAAAAACAAACGAAAACAAAAAGAAGTATACTCCGGCTGCTGATTCAGTATAATTAGTTGATAATATATCAACAATGAGAATGAAGAGGTATAAATAATGAGAATGAAGCAGGAAAAGAAAGAAGTTAAAATAATATGTTGTTTTCACGATTCCATACATGATTGAATACGATTCCATACATGATTGAATATAGTTTGTTCATAATATAACAACAAAAATAATGCAGGGGAAAGGAAAGTGGAACTTGGTATGGATGATTGATGATGGACGCCAACAGGAACTGTGAATAGAGGTTGAAGGAAGTCAAACCACTGAAAAGTTTAATTTTGGATATAAATAATGAAAGTAAGCTTATTAATTTTGGGGCCTGATTCTTCCACGGAAGATTTTTATTCAACCACTGAAAAGTTTAATTTTAGGGAGCTGATTTTTCCAATTTATATTTTAATCCTGCCACTGAATAATTAATGTATGGACCAATATACCCCTAAACTCATTTATGATATTGAAGAGGGAGAAATATTAAAACCATATACCTTTTTTATGGGAAAAATCTCACAATTAATTATGCTTAAGATTTGAATAAGTTTAAATGAATAAATGTGGAGAGTTGATCAACACATTTTGAATCAAAATCAGTTCAAGTCTAAATTTTGAATCCGAATCAAAGTCAATTCAAGTTTATATTCAAGGTTAACATATAAAAATCAATTCAATGGCAAAATGGTCATTTAAAATTTTTGACAACTATGGTTCCTTTAAAAAAATCAGGTAATGTGCTTAAATTGCAGTTTACTCTTAACTTTAATTGCCTTTTTTCCTTGAAATTCTTCTAAAATGTAGCTAGCTGATGTGATCTAGATTTATGATTTTCTTCAAGAACTTTCATGAGTTTGGTAGCTTGCTGACTCAGATTGCTGAAGAAACCACTTACTGCCCTTGATATTTCGTGTTAATTCTCTAAACTTTTATGTAGTCCCTACACAATTAAAAAACAAAATATCAGATATAAACTATGAAAAGGGTAATAAGAGAATTATAAAATTTAAGAGTAAAAATATGAACACCCTTGTTGTGTTTGTACCTCTTCATGTTGTTGAACAGATAAAGACAGCATCTGCTTCTTCTGATGGGCTATAAAAAATAAAACGGATAGTGAAGTCATCATGCTCAGAACTAATACAGAAAGTGAAAAATGTATACAAGAAATAAAGACATGGTTCATAGCAGAAGCAAAACGGATAGTGAAGTCATCATGCTCAGAACGAATGGCTCCAATGTGATTTATGATCAAATAATGTCGCTGATAAGTGAATCATGTTAAGGAAATTGCAAGAAAGATGACTTAAAACATTATATTTTTTCATATGAATCAGTGTAAATATACCTGTAGAATCAAATAAAATTATAAAATAAATGACATGGAGGATATTCTTGAACTTCACGAGGTATTTTTCTTTCTCTAAGCCAGCAACCAAAGTATTCTTCGCTCCTTCCTTGTGTTTCTGCATGCTGTGGCACTGGATACCTGAAAATTTCTCAGAAATTATTCAACACAAATTACAAAGTAATAATCAATTAATGAGAAAGCAAATTGGATTACATTTCTGCAGAATCAAAGAAGTTGATTCCGGAGTCGAATGCTTTGTCGAGGAGTTTGAAGGACTGTGACAACGAATTTTGCTCACCGAATGTCATCGTCCCATTCAAAGAAAAAACAAAACAAAAAAAATTGAGTCCATTGTTACTCTATAAAAGGGGGAAAAGGTTTAGGACAACCTAAACAGAGCTTTGAAACAAGGAGACTGGAAGTGAGATTTGAAAGAGGGACAACCATTTTAGCCCAACTGCAACCAATCTGCACCACCACCACCTATAAATTACTTAACATAACCCGTGAGCACCACCAACACTCCTTTTTCAAAGTTTCTAGAGGATTTGATGTTGTAGTCCCTTCTTACTGGTGCTGGAAACCAATGGAGTTTTCAGGAAATCATTAACCTTTCCAGCCAATTGCTACCTTGCCCTATTCATTTGACAATCTACCAGTTTCAGACCTTGAAGGATTCATAAATTTCTTCAATCCCTTCCACCTGATAATGTATAAGAACAAACAACCGTTTCTAAATCAATACAGCAAAATTTTATATAGTTGCAGAAATAATCAATAGTAAAATCATTACTGAATCACACATAATGGCGTTATCAATGATAGTTTACAAGGCATTATAGTTTTAATTTAACATTTATACAATAAAAACAACGCTTCACCAAGAGCGGGAATCTGAGGTTGAGTTTTTCAATACTAATACGATAGGAAGATAAATAATCGAATTGGATTAAAATCAATTAACTGATAGTCTCAAGAGATTTGAGAGTATCATTTAACTATCGTCTCTTCTGTTAAAGGTTTGGAAATCCATGAGTATTGAATAGTGATCTGAAATAAAAATAAAAATGAAAATAAGGATTACTTGTTTAAACACCGTCGAGATAGAGAGATCAAAGAGGGTTGATGACCTGATTGCTTGCCTTGTTGGTGTTCTTCACTTCTTCGCACAACATAAGTCACGTGAGAGATTGAAGGCGGATGAGTTTGTGGGGAATGACGATGGAGAAGAGCCCAGTTGGTAGTGAGGCAGAGATAAGGTACACTTAGAAAGAGCAGCAGCAGAACCCAAGAACCCTATTATCGTTGCCATAACAATTCTCCAATTAAACTCCAATTTCTGAATGAAAACATCAAAGATGAAAAACCCATTTGGTTATAGAATCAAAATCGTCAACGATCATAATTACAAGACTTACACCAAGATTTTGTTGTCCGCGGAAGAACACATAGTAGTGGGGAAGAAGAATAATCTTGGATCGATTTGATGTATGAAATCGATGGGGTGACCCTTTCTGATGTTGATTGAAGGAAGCGATTGGGTTTAGAGCAAAAGGGAGGGAGAAAAGTAAGAAGATCATGGCGATTCTGGCATGATTGAAGTAAAAATGAATAATTAGGTTACAATTGAGAGAGAAAGAGGGTAGATGACGAAAGATAGAAAAATAAGTGTGTAATTGAACTTCTCGCGATGAAAAGGGAAAGGATGATTTCAGCAAACAATCCAAGGTGAGAAATTAAGGATTGAAATGTAATGAAGGGTTCTGATTTCTTAAGATTAGAATTTAAGGTTCTCTTTTAATAATATTTAGAGATTGTACAAATTAAGTTTGTATATATTTATCTTATCTTATTTCAGTACACACAACATTGTGTAACACTTACGATTTAGATGCAATCAATTAGTAGTAACCTACTTGGACATATAAGTATTATACAAAAATTCATCCCCAAGTCAAAACCACCTAATAGAAAATACACCTCAGTCCCACTTTTAAAGATTTTTATAATTCCACCATTACCAATCATACAACAAATGAAATACAATCCCAATCCGCAAGTCAAAACCACCTAATAGAAAATACACCTCGGTCTCTGTTGAGTTGAAAGGCAACATCTTCTTTTTCTATTCTAATAAAAGAGTAGTTTTATTCTTCTTTTGACATGTGTCACCATATTAAGCCTCTTAATTAATGCATATTTTATTATTTTTTTGTCATGTGTCATAATATTATGTCTCTTAATTAATGAATGTCACTTGTCAATCTATTGATTTTTCATTTTAAATTAATTTTCCACTTTAATAAGATTAAATTAATAACATTAAAATAAAAATTATAAAATGATATAATTTTACAAATTTATTTAAATCAATGATTATAATTTTATATAACTAAAAAAATCTTTTAATTAATAATTTATTTAAAATAACTGATTAATAATTTTGAGTTTTTACTATAAAAATTGAATTAATTTTGTAACCGTGGTTCCCGCAGGTTATAAACTAGTTTATATATATATATATATATATATATATATATATATATATATATATATATATATATATATAATCACTACTTCTTAAACCAATAAATACCTAATAATCCAATTTTTCAAATATAATCCAACAGAATGGAATAGAATGGGGGCTGGTAAATAAGGGTAATAATGAATCAAAATGTGTAGTGTACATATCCCAATCCCCCTAGTATCCTTACCTAAGGACTATGGTAAAATTGACTAAATCCAATTCCAATCCAGTTGCCCACAACCAATTAAGGTAAGGCAAAAACATCATTGACCATTCACCATTTAATGTTTATGTTTATGTCTTGAGATCATCTGACATGGCACTTGGTATACAATGAGTCAACAGGATGTCCACAGTTGCTGCTTTTGCTGTCTTTGTCTCCAGTACCACTATCTGCAACCACACATTCCATTCACATCAAAAACAAAACTACAATTTACATTTTACATTTTACATTTTACATTTTACATTTTACATTTTACAAACAGGGAGAAGAACTGAAGAAGAAGAAGAAGGCTAAGCCTACCTGTTGATATTCCAATTCAAATTTCAGATAATCATCCCTACAGCTCTCCACCATATTTGCCAAGCTTTTCAGATTCTTCACTTCCTTACCATTGAATGCAAGAACCTAAACCCATTCAAACATACATAGCCACAAAGGATCAATAACTCTGTATTCATGCTTTTTCTAATATTTTATAAATCTAACCTGAGTGTTCACAATCTCCTCATATCCTATGTTGATATCTGCCACAAGTACCTTCACACAAAACAAAACCATTTTACTACTTTATTTTATTACACAGAATTGAATAAAGAATAAAAAAGTTTCAAGGGAGAAAAAAGTTAGGAACCTGTGAGACAACTACAATCTGTTCATCTTGTGATTTTGGCAACTCATGAAGAAGTTTATCCAACAGCTTAACAGGGGCATCATACCCATAGTCCTTTCCATACTGCCAACATATATCATACATTCATAAAGGTTACTTTAAGTTAAATAGAAATATAATCATTTTATATTTATGAAGATTTTAAGTATATTGTGTGCACCTCGGAACGAAGATAAGGAACAGAAACAGTTGTAAAAACCAATCCTCCAATGATGTAGTATGAAGGAGGTCTACCCTTGTTGTGTGCAGGGATTAGCTTTTTGTGAGTATCAAACTTGATGTTAAATTTCAAGATTTTAGATTCACGAAGCACTTTGATTTGAGCTGTATCTCCTGTATATTTATGGGATACAAGGTAGCTAAAACCTATCCTCTCTCCATGCCTAAAAGGAACTGAGTAAAGATTCAACAAAAAATAGTCATGAAACTGAACATTTGATCAAAAATTTATATGTTATATATAATATTAATACATTGTTACCTGTTCCATCATTGGCAATACCAACACCATCAAAACTTAGTATAATATCAGATGGTTTTAGAACTTTATGCTCAGGGGCAGTAGGGTCAATTCTTCGAATTCGAACACCTTTCTGATTATCTTTCATCCCCATAGACTTACGCAGATCAGGGTTTTCCATCTTTTGCCACTCAACACCAAGAATGGGAAATCCAGTATATGATCCATTTTTCTCATAATCTTGGATAAAGTGCATTATGACAGGGGTTGGTATGACATATCCAATGTTTTCAGCATCTTCGTGTTTAAGAGACTGAAATGCAATTCCAACACAATTTCCCTTGTCATTGAAGGCAGGTCCACCAGAGTTCCCTGAGTTGATTGCAGCATCTATCTGCAAAAGGTTGAAGAGCAATTTATGTTAGTGAATGAACATGAATGTCAAACATGGTTTAAGATAAAAGAAAGTTCAATGACCTGTAATCCCAAAAGCTCAGTTGACCCATGAACATAAGATAGAATCTCTATACGTGAAACAACACCACTAGTGACAGATATTGTATCACCTCCGATTGGATACCCCACAACTGTAACCGCATCTTGAAGAGCAGGCAAATCCCCAAACTCCACAGGTGATACATCAAGCCAAAATTCATCATCATCCACAGTAAGCAAAGCTGCATGATTGGATAAACAATGTCATGACTGAAAATGAAAGTTCCCTTTGCAGGTATCATACGTAACTATTAGCTGGAAATGACTATAGCTCCTTAAGCAAAAATGAGAAAATTTTAGACTCACCAATATCACATTCGGTTCCTACTGCAAGAACGGTGGCGACATATTTCGTATCGGAGCCACGTTTCTTGAGCTTCACTTGAGTATAATGCTCCACCGAGTGCGCATTAGTCAAGACCCTCCTCCCACTAATCACAAAGCCACTACTGCTAGAGCTATACTGCCTCTTCCTCTGCCACGGCAGAGAGAAATTGGGCTCAGTATGCGTGCAAAACACCTTCACCACCGCGTCCATAGCCGGCATCACCCTAGCCATCGCCATGACCACACTATCAAGAAGCGAACCATTCCCAGTAACATTTCCATTGCCCTCAATACACCTCGAAGGGGGAGATGAAATTAAGGGGGGTTTAGGGTTTTCCATGGGTTCCCGGCGGCGGCGGAGGTGGTGATGGTGATTGGAATTGGAATTGGAGGTGTCATTGTTGTGGGTGAGATCAACGTCTTCGACGGAGGGCGAAGAGGAAGTCGCTTTGGAGATTTGGAGATCTAGGGTTTCGGGTACTCGAGATTTAGGCGTACGTCCTCGTTTCCGCTTGTTATCCACCATGTCTGGAATCTTCTTGCGATGAATTGATCGATAGTTACAGAGTGGAAGCCCGTAGATACTCGAGTATCAAAGAAAGGAAATATCCGATGAGACGGTGGTGGTGCGGTGGCGACTGGCGAGGGGAGGAGGAAGAAATTGCTGTCTTGATGTTATTACAAGGCCCAAAGGCGGGGAAGGTTTAGATTGCGACGATACGCTGTCGTTTTTATATGGAAGACTTGACGAGGAAATGAGGAATTTCCGTGAAAAGTTGTATTAAACCATAACGTGGAATTTTGTATTAAACAATAACTTCCAACTCAAGAAAATAGAAATGCTTCACAAAAAGGCAATATAGAGTACATTTTAAGAAATAAATTGTCGCTAGATACTCATAAGTTTAATAATTGTAGAACTTTTTTAAGAAATTGACGTATTAAGTTCAAACAAATTCAATTAAATCCTAAAGTTAAACAAAATCAAAACGACATCTTCAAGATTTTTTTTTTAATTTGGGCTAATTTAATCATGGATTAAATACATAAAATAATGACTTACTTATATTGTTTATCGAATTACAAGCGTACTTTATGAAGTACATCATTAAATTTTTATATTTTCTACCAACAATGACAATATATAATATGGTCAATAAGTTAATCATAATATTCGGCTGATTGTTGACACCAAACCAAAATGTGTCACCTAATACGGGTTTCTAATACAAAGTCTTTAGTTTAGTTTCTTTTTAGACATGATCACCACAAACGAATCCAAAATAGTTATAGAAAGAATACAACAACAAGAAGTTAGCTTGATTTGGTCCACAAGATGATAAACAATTCACAATTCTTTATTAATCAAAATAAGTAATACTTGTTAGAAAACGCAAGTCCCTCCTAAATGGGTTACTGGTTTCTTCCTTCTCAATCAATACTAACCTTCTCTTCCTATTGTCTGAGATGGCTTTGATCTTAAGTAACAAACCATGTGTTGGTTTGATTTTTTTTTTTTTTTTTTTTTGAAGATGTTTGAAAGAATGAAAAGGAACAAATTAACCATATATAAAAAAAAACTTGTGCCCTTTTCTTTCTTTTCTATTAAATTTTGTCTGGATAAATGATGAAATTAATGGTTAAATGTGATCGTTTTGATATTTTTTATTTTCGCATGAGAAATGGAAGGAAAAAATAAATGAACACAAATTTGTAGAAATTTAAAACTTAATATGGAAAGCCTCCCTTTCCCAACTTTTTTTATTTATTACGTTGTTATTTCGAATTAAACAAAAAAGAAACACTTATATAACTTACTAAAATTAAGTTATGTCATGGCTTTATGATTGTGTGTCTACCACACAATTACATGAAAATAATTTATGCATAATCTACTCTAATGCAACTATAAAAAGCAAAAGGCTCCCATAGCATTTATCATTCCTTTCGTCTCAGCAGTCCTGCGAGGATGGATCTTCAATTGCTCTCTTAATCGTTACATGTATAATTCTATACATCGATTTCTTAACATGCACGTGTTAATAAGACATCATTTATTCATACACCATTTTATCCAGATAAAACACCACCAAATGGTGAGAAAAAAAAAACTTTTGTAGTCATTCAGGATTAGGAAAGTGCAATTTTTGAGCAAGAAACATCTAACGTTGATGATAGGTTTATATATACTTAGATTAACAGTGGCATCGGAAACATGCAAATTAATCTAAGGCAAGCAAACAACTAAAACCTACAGGATCTTTAACCTAAATAATAAGAACAACTACAAGAGAGATCAAGAACACTAACCTTTAGCAAAACCAATTTGCTTTTCAACATGTTCAGGGGACAACCTCTCGGGAATTATGGTTGGCTTTGGAACCTACCTATGCTCCACACACCTCTTCAACGGAATACACCTTGAAGACTCATTTATTGAAGATACAAACGAAACCTGATGAATCACCATCCACTAGGGGTGAGCGTGGTGCGGTTATTAGCCAAAACCTCACCACTAACCGCAAATGCGGTTAATCCATTTTCAAAACCGCTTGGTGCGGTTATTTTTACGGTGCGGTTTTGTTTTTTTTTGTGTTGCGGTTATTAACCGCATAGATTTGGTGCGGTTATTTTGTGTGGTTTTTAACCACAGTTTAGAGCTCAAACAGTTTTAAGAGTTCAAACATATTAATTGTAATAATAAAAAAATCATAAGGTATAAGACAATTAACTTAAATCACAAACAACTAATATCTTAAAAACGTCAAATCAATAGTAATTAACAATAAATATCTTAAAATTGTCTAATTTCACCATTTTTTAAAGTTAAACATAACAAAAAACCAACATTTTTGTCTTTTAGTATTTTATCCATAACTTGTCTTATTTTTAATATTTAATATATTAATAATTAATAAAAAAAATTATATATAATATATGCGGTGCGGTGCGGTTTTTTTGCGGTTTTTGAAAACTAATAACCGCACCGCACCACAAATTTGCGGTTTTTTTTAAACATAAAACCTCACCATCGGTTTTTATTGCGGTTGCGGTTTATCGGTTGCGGTTTTTGCGGTTAATTTTAGTTGCGGTGCGGTTTTTGCTCACCCCTACCATCCACCTATCTAACCAGGGACCTTGGTGAGTGATAAAGCTGTTAACTTTATCACACTCAATCGTTCCAACTTCCACAATGGACCATAATATGTTAACTTTCTTAGATATACCATAAATGAACCATAAAGATTAAAATGGTTCAGAAAATGATTACAGTGATGGAGATGAGTTGCTTGATGGCTCTTTACGCTAGAAAACTTATTATTTTTCCTTCAAAGGTCACCAAATCACCAAAATGAGCTCAAAATCTTGAAAGGAGGCTAGGGTTTGATCTTATGTACATAGAGGAGTGATGGAGACTGAGGATGGACAAACCCTAGCCATCACATCCTTTAAATAAATAAATAAAAAACTAGGGTTTTGAGCCTAGCACGTCACCACGTCATGGCCAATACATGTCCATGTTGTGGCCACTTAAAATGATCGCGGTCCCAAAAGGCGCTGCCACATCGTGGTAATCCTCCTCACCACGACGTGGCCACTCAAAATCCGCAAGATAAAAGCATAAAATTCATACCTGAAAAACCGAGTGTTACATTTTTCGATTAGTTCCTTATGTGTATTTAATCAAACAAAAACCAGGATTTTCTGGATGAGCTATTTGTCTTGTAAAGCGGGATCAACCGTCGCAGTTCATACTCCATCCAAGAAATCAGAAAAAAAAAATAACTGATGATATTCTTCAAGGAAATGAAGGTTTAGGACAACCCATCAACAAAAAGACTCAGCACTAGACTACAACGATTTAGAATAAGCCACTAATAATTTCTTCGAACAGATTGTAACATCCCAAAATTTTCAACAAATTTAAACCTTTCAAAAATTACTCATTTATTAATAAAAGTGTTTACAAGACGTTAATTAAAATCAGAGTCTTCCAGGATCCGATCAGTTGTAAACCAATGATGTGTACGGTCACCCCTTCGCCTTGTCACGGTCCACTGAAGTACCTGAAACCATAAACCAAAAATGTAAGCACGAAGCTTAGTGAGTTATCCTTGAGCCCACTATATGAGTCTACAGCCACGAATAAATAACATATTCAAAAGAACAGCATGTATTGGGTCTACAGCCAAAAGACCGGATTACCCTTGAGCCCACTATATGAGTCTAGCTTGTCTATCGGGCCCACAGCTCATATCTGGCTTGCTCTTGAGCCCACAGCATAAGTCTGGCTTACCCCCTGGGGCCCACAGCTTATGTCTGGCTTGCTCCCTAACCCAATCAGTCATTAGACTGGCATACAATGTCCAGCCCTCAGTACGATTCTGACATACCAACTGGTCCTCAGCTCGTATCTGGAATGCTACTGAGCCCTCAGTATGAGTCTGGCATGCCCTACCCGGCCCTCATCTCTTATCTGGATTGCTCTAATACCTTCAAGCCCTCAGTACGAGTCGGGCATACCATCGGGTCCTCAGCTCGTATCTGGAATGCTACTGAGCCCTCAGTATGAGTCTGGCATGCCCTACCCGGCCCCCAATTCATATCTAGAATGCTCCAGGGTTTGCTGGCTACAACACGAAGCAGTACGACCTCAACCCAACACAATATACCGACAGATAACAAACATATACATATAATCGTGTAGACAGAGTCATAGGTACTCCTACAAGTTTACCAGACTAGCATATCAATAACTAGCATACTCATGTATATCTATTTCATACTCAGCATATCAGTGAATACCATGATATCAACCAATGGTCGACCTTGGTGCCTTCGACCCGTAAGTATAGTGAGGAAAACTCACCTCACAAGTAGCACAGAACTGATAAGGTCCGACTCCGAATCTCAGCTCTCAACTCAAATTCCTACCACCAACAAATGACCAATTCCATCAAAATCCCAGCAATACCCAAAATACCCTCAAGGTCAAACTCGGTCAAACTTCTGGTCAAATTCAAAGTCAACAACCCATGTTGACCAAACACGACGTGTTGCCCCTTGGACACGCCGTGTTCTCCAATCATCCAGATAATCGGGAAACCCCAGCCAATACATCGTGTTTTCCTGAGTTTTAGCAGCTTAATACATTCAGTTGCTTTCTTCGATTCTAGGGACTCTAAGGCTTAGATCTAGACCCAAATGCTATGAAGAAGAATAAAGTTTCCAACTTTATCCTTTAGAACCACTCCAAGGATCCAAAAACCCAACCACAAGGCTTGAAGATTCAAGGGCTTAACCCAATAAGCACTAAATCCTTGAAGTCTAAAACCCATCCTTTCCAGAAGAGGTTCTAGCACCAAAACCATCCCAAAGGTCGGTGCTTTATAGACATGCATGTCCAATGCATGTCTTGAACCCAAAATAGGTCAAAAGTGGGGATTTATGACCTACTCTCCATGTATGGCGTCAAAACTCGACTATAGGCCAGATCCAAGACTCTACAAGGTCACTTAGACCTGGAGATTCATAAAGTTGCTAACTTTATGAGATCCAACCATTCCCTCACTCAAGAACAACAAGAAAAAAGGGCCAAAACTCAAGATCTAGCAACATAGAGGAATAAAAATCGGATCTTGGACACTTACAAAGGTCCAGAAGAGTGCCAAACTGAAGAATGGGAGCTTGCTTGTTGGATCTTTGCTTCCTCCTTCCACCTTCTTCCTTATTTTGCTTCAAAAACACCACACTAGCTAAA